TTTATAATTAAAAATTGAAATCATAGTATAATATTATCACTGATGACAGTTGGATAATCGCATGTCATTGCATTGGATTTATTTCTAATTTATTCATTTGAAAAAAAAAAGAAAACATATGTCTTTAGCGAAAAAGTTATTATGGATGTTTTTTGCTACACGAGCAAAAAATATTTAAACGTATGATCTTCCATAGTGAAAATCGCCAATGGTTTAAAATTCTGACAATTTTACTTTCCACGAAATTCTTTAAGAAATTCACGAAATATTGTATTTAATGATTGTTTATATCTGTGGTTATGTATGAGAGAGTGTGTGAGTGAACAAGTGTGAATGTAACATAATAAAATTGTAAGAAACGTTATTTTTTATGTAATTAAGTGTGGCATTCAGAAAGACCAAACGGTCCGCATGTGTCCCGTGGGTTGCAGTTTGCCCATGACAGGTTTAGATAAATAAAAAGACAAGAGCAGACATCGATATATATAACAGGATAGATAGATAAACAGGAAGGTGCAGAAATCTATAGATATGAATGTTTAAATACATAAACGGACTGGGGCAGGCATCGGTAGATATGAATAGATAGATAGATGTATGGATAGATAGAAAAACAGGCAGAAGCAGTGGTCAGTAATATCTGAAGGCTTAGAACAGGCATGGGCAACCTTTTTCGAGCAGTGGGACGAATGATCCATGCCTTATCACAGAGTTGTCCGCGCTACTAAACAAATTCAAGGTAATTTTTCGTACTAGGTACCTAAGTTATTTTCAGTACAGAAACCATATGTAAGCATATACCTTAGAAATGATGAGAGAGTTTTATTTTTTAGAAAATATATTATATTTTATTATAATTAAAAAAATTAGAGTCTTATTATAATATTATCGCTGATGTCTGTGATTAACACATGTCGCTTTGTATGATTTATTTCTCCTTTATTCGTTTAAAAATTAAAATAAAACATATATCTTTAGAGAAAAAAATATTATGGATGTTTTCTGTTTCAAAAGTAAAAGATGTTTACACGTATGAATTTCCTTAGCGAAAATCACCAATGGTTTAAAATTCTGACAACTTTAGTTTCCACAAAATTTTAAATAAATCAAGAAACATTGTCCTTAATCGTTAATTATGTATGTGATTATGTATGAGAGAATGTGTGAGTGAACAAGTGAGAATGTAACAAAAGAAAATTTTAAGAAACGTTATTTTCTTAAAATAATTCGTAAATAAATAAATTATTGAGAAGGACTAGCTAGATTAACAGTTGGATGCAGACATGGGTAGACATGTTGGGATAGATAGAAAAACAAGCAAAAACAGAGGTCGGTAATATCTGAAGGTTTAGATCAGGCATGGGCAACCTTTTTCGAGCAATGGGCCGAATGATCCATGCCTTATCACAGGGTAGTCCGCGCTACGAAACAGATTCAAGGTAATTTTTCATAGTAGATATCTCAGTTATTTTCGGTACCGAAAACCATATATGTAAGCATATATCTTAGAAAGGATAAGAGAGTTTTATTTTTTAGAAAATATTTTATTATAATTAAAAAATTGAAGTCTTCCTATAATATTATCGCTGATGGCTGTGATTAATTATCTTGCTTCGCATAGTTTATTTCTCATTTATTCATTTGAAAATAAAAAAAGAAAACATATATGTCTTTAGCGAAAAAATTATTATTATGGATGTTTTTTTTTTTCAAAAGCAAAAGATGTTTACATGTATGACTTTCCGTAGTGAAAGACGACAATTGTTTAAAATGCTGACAACGTTAATTTCCACGAAATTAAAAACAAATTAAGAAACATTGTCCTTAAACATTGATTATGCATGTTATTATGAATGGGATAATGTCTGAGTGAACAAGTGAAAATGTAACAAAAGAAAATTTTTAAGAAACGTTATTTTCCTTAAGTGTGCTATTTGGATAGACTAAACGGGTCGAATGTGTGAGCGCAGACCGCAATTTACCTATGACTCGTCTAGAATGAATAGAAACTTCGAGAAGAAAATTTCCCATCAAAATTGGCCGAATCTTGTCCGAATCTTGTCCGAATTCTTGAAACTTCATTCCCGAAGACAGGATGGACGTTTGGCAATGTTTAATCTTCGGGTCCCGGGGAAGAAAAAAAAACACTGTTTCAAAAGGACGGTTCTTCCGTTTACAACATTATTAATGTATACGCTTTTGACTCCCTCAGCAATATGAATTATTTTCACCCGAAGCAAGGTGGGAATGCCACTAGCACGCAATGGGTTACAGAGAGTGGGAGTAAGAGTAAAGAGGGGCGTGTGAGGCTTAGGTAAAGAGAAGGACGGGGAATGGTAATAATTTCTTTCCTGGTCATTCTTTGTTATAAAAATGTATTGCTGGTAATATTTTTTGCTATGAAAATGTATTGCTGGTATTTTTGCTATAAAACATTTTACACTTCCATAGTTTTTTAACCCTAGTTTAGGGATTAACTATCTGCCGATACCTGGGTCCTTAGCAGGTGCAATCATCCAGTCTCAGGATTGACCTGCAAACGACAACATTTAAGAGGTGTTTTCACGCTCCTCAAAACATCCCGATTAGAGGCCTTGCTGCCGGATGTAGTTTATCGTCATATACAAGACGCAGAATTCTCCACCATCTTTTTCTGATTGTCAGGAAAACTTTCCTTGTTGTTCATATATTTCTAAATAATTCCTCGTTCGTCACATAATCTATACATAGTATTCTTTGCATTCGAAATGTGAGGAGATTGTTTAGCATTCCCTAGCCTACAGAAGATTAATTATTATATAGCAGTACAGCACTTATGCCTTAATATTTTTACTATTCCCAATCGCCATCAGATTTCTATATCTCCCATGTATGATACTACCTAATCAGTTTGATTGATGTTGTATTTCAGTTGATCATTTGCAGTTGTAGAAGGACGCCATAGCTCTTAGCGATGTCGTTCGAACCTCGTAGATTAGAGCTACGGAATCAGAAGCAAACAACCGTACGACCAAAATGTCCGTCGTTAACTGGGGCAAAAGATGACTTGTTAATTTTAACGCCTCCAAAACAAAACGTCCTCTATATTAATCATCTCAGAGACCGCACACTGCCTTCCAGCAGCATGGCTGATGTTAACCTCCAAAAAAGAGATTCATTGCGCCTTTGTGAATGCTTTCTGAACCACTACAATCTTAATCTCTTCATTTTTAGGATTAACCGTTATCATTCACATATATCCCTATAAACAGCACATTTACTGATAGAATAACGGCTTTCAGTAACCTTCTACCTTGAAATTCTCTGCACAATTTTATCCATAACGAAACGCTAGAATACGAATATTAAAGATTTATTCTACCAGGAAGGAATTTTATAAAGGTTTATTGCCCAAGCCTCAGATGAAGTGCACAGAATATTGACACTCTTTTCATATTTTCCAAACTTACCTTCAATATTTTCCAAATTATCCTGCCATATTTCTCAACTTGCTTTCAATATTTTTTTTTTAAATTTACTAACCATGTTTTTCAAACTTGCCTTCAATATTTTCCAAATTTGTTTCCAAAATTTACAAAATTTTTCTACCATATTTTTCAAACTTGTCTTCAATATTATTCAGATATGTCTACCATATTTCCCGAAATTGCATTCATTATTTTCAAAATTTGCTTGGCATATTTTACAAATTTGTGGTAATATTTTCAAACAACGAAACAACATTTTCAAGGCGAAAAAACTGTTTCATTTATTAGAAAAATGAAACAAAATGGCGTCAACTTTATGTATTCTACTCTAAAGTTATAAATAAATGTTGTAATCAAAGATGTATAGTTTTAACCGGTTCATATATTTTGTTGAAAATGTTAGTTGCGAATATATTTTCTGACGAGGCATTCTGATATTTTAATTTGACTATTACTTCTCAATAATCAATGACCAAAAATTCTTGATATTTCTGATGTCAAATTTTCTACTATAATTTCTCTCTGGAATGCAAACAAAATACCAAGTGTAAACAAATACAGACTGTCCATATAGTTCGTGTGCACTTAAAAACAAATTATAAGTTTATTTGTATTTGCGATAGAAATAATCTGTAAAGAATGTTATAAAGTTTAATGTACCTAGTTTTAAGTATAGCTAAAATAACTAATGTGATTTCCGGCATTACTGTAAATCAGTTGGCAAATGTTTTCCGTGAACTGCAAAATCGTATTACCCTTTTTATTGCTAATGATGGAGGACATGTGGAAATTTAAATAAAATTTCAATAAAACCTTTAAAAATATAGATTTGTTTTCTATCTATTCCTTTTTACAAATTATTTCTATCACAAATACAAATAAAGTTATAAATTTTTTAAAGTGCTCACGAACTCTATGGACACGCTCTATTTAGTTAACTTTGGAGTGTTAAATTATTTCTATAACTGATTAAATTTTTGTTTTGATTTTAAGTAACTCAGTCTGCTATATAAAAAGGACGCCTCAAACACATTAATAAAAGAATATTAGAGAAATTATTAAAAAATTGAAGAAATTACGTTTGGAATATTAGAAATTCATGCCGGATAAAAAAAAGAAGATTTCTTAACTAAATATTTAATTTTTAAATTTTTATTATTTATTTTTTTAAATTATATAATTATTTTATCCCTTTTTCTCCACACATTGCCAGAATTTTCCATGCGTTGATTAGATTCAATGAAAGCTTTGACGTATTTGATCAAATAAGTACTACCTGTAATATCCCTGCTTACATAACCAAAAAAAAAAAAAAAAAAAGAAAATTAAAAACAAAACAAACAATTTGGCGTTCATGATTAAGTTTCGCAATCGAATCAAATTTCACTTTTTCCCGCCTGATTATTGTCACCCTGCTCGATTGTAAGAGATCTCAGTAATGCTGAACTCGGTATCTGATGATCAATACAATATTACCTGATAAGTACCCGGTGATTAGATCTGAAAACAGCGAATGGCCGCGAGGTGCCGACATCAAGAGAACCTTTTTCCAAAGGATCTCGATGACTCATCGCGAAGAGTGAGTGTTCTGTCGATGGTACAAATGATTCCTGCTCGACGGTATTCAAATCGATGCTGTGTTCGGGTCTCGTTCGAATGACGTAAGTGGGTGAGCAAAGAGAACAACGAAATATTCAGCGCTGAAAATATGCTGTAGCGTTTCGTGTAAAAGTCGGTTCCATATAAAACTACTGCTTTTAGCACCGGCTCCAGCTGAAAAAAATATATTCCCGCTTAGATGGTTTTTTTTTTGTTGTTTGTTTTTTTCCATTTACTCTTTTTCGAAAATGATACATTTCGTAGGAAAATAAGAGAAGTTCACTTTGTAAAGTTTTTTTTTTTTTTGAATAAGAGAAAACTAGCTAAGATATAGCATATCATTATTTTTTTTTTACTGCTTTTTCTTTCATCTTATTTCTGTTGCTTTTTATTCCACGGTTGTTAAGTAAGCAGCACGAATCACAAGGGTCGAAGAATGTAAAATCGACCTGAGTCTAACGATAAAAAGGAAAAAAAAAAAAGGACAAAAAGCGAGGATCAGTTAAAATTAATAATAATCATTATACTTCAGAAAACCAATCGATCAATTCTAGAAGAAACATTATATATATATATATATATATATATATATATATATATATATATATATATATATATATATATATATATATATATATATGTGTGTGCCTGTGTATGTGTGTGTGTGTGTGTGTGTGTCTGTGTCTGTGTGTGTGTGTGCATATGTGTGTGTGTGCATATGTGTGTGTGTATATATATATAAATATAAAATGAACACTGAAATCAATACTCAGTGGCGACAGGCTGTTTCATGTTAAACGCAATCCTCAAGCCTGACGATCGAGTCTAGCATGAAACAGCCTGTCGCCAATGAGTATTGACATCAGTGTTCATTTTATATTTATATTGACATGCGCTCTATCTCTGATATTGAGCACTTTATCCCATAAATATAGCACACTTTAAAAATATGTTTCTGCATATATATATATATATATATATATATATATATATATATATATATATATATATATATATATATATATTTCATAGGGTGAAACAAATATTCTTACAGATGCAAATTTTTCACTTATTGTATTTTTAACTAATGAATAAACAAACTTTGCATATAATTAACTGTACACAGATGCATCATAACTAAATATGCATAGAAAAAAAAGGAAAAATTGATCTAATAGAAATAAATCCCATTTATCTATTTCAATGGTGGGAAAAGTATTCATAAAATGCAAATTTCAGATTTTAACAATTTTAAATTGCTTTAATACTCTAATTCAAATGGAATATTCTAGAATGTTCCAATAATGTTATCAGTAGTTATTTTTAGCCTAAAAATACAAACATAACATTCTGTAATTGATATTCGTGCAGGAAGGTTGCTATCATGCCCAGAGGTAAAGAATTGACAAATTCGCAAAAAAGAACTGATTTTTAAATTCTGGAAAGAAGGTAAAAGTTAGAGGAAAATCTCAGACAACCTGAATATTCCATTTACTACCATTACTTCATTCATTGCAAGGTTATAAAAACTCAAAATTGTTGAAAAACAAAGAACAGTTGCTCCACGGTAGATTTCTTCAAAATCTTCGAGGAAATTAATGCGTCAAGTTGTACAAAGTCCAATGGTTGAAACTTTTTTTTCACTGATTAAAATGGGTAAATAGAATTTGCGTTTATTAAATCATTTTTTCTGTTTTCTATGCATATTTAGTTATTATGCATCTATGCACTGTTAATTTATATGAAAGTATGTTTAACTTTAGTTGGAAATACAAAAAATTAAAAATTTGTATGTGTACGAAAATTTGTTTCCCCCACTGTGTATATATATATATATATATATATATATATATATATATATATATATATATATATATATATATATATGCATGTGTTTAGGGTAGGGGTTACCAGGATAAATGATCGGTAAAGCGTCAAAGAATAACCTTGCCAAAAGAAAAAAACCTAAATGACAAAAAAAAAAAAACGACCCCTGCCTAAACAATAAAAAAAGAAAATAATAATTTAGTGCCCAGTTCCTCATGAAAAGAAGCTAAAACAGAACTGTAACAACACAAACCACCTTAAATAATTTCTATTCTTCCCTGGGTGCACTTTTTTTTTGTCTTTCTTTATACTTCATGCGATTATTGAAGTTGGTAATAACACCTTGGATCTCGTCATCTGAAGATCGCCATAGCGTGGAACGATTGAGTCACTGCGTGCTGTTTGGCGTTTATTTTTCTCTCTCTTTCTCTTTCTTTCTTCCTCTCTCTCTCTCTCTCTCTCTTCATCTATCTATCTATCTATCTATCGATCTATATATATATATATATATATATGTGTGTGTGTGTGCGTGCGTGTGTGAATCATTTTCATCAAAAGTTACCGAACATTGCCTGATGACGAGATAAAATTATGGAAATTTCTGTGTCGCAATGTAAAAATATCATTACAAATATTATACACTACGTTGCATTGAGCACGTTTAAAAAAAAGTAAATGCCAGAGGACTGTCTATTCTAAATCTTTTCATCTGGACATATATATATATATATATATAGAGAGAGAGAGAGAGAGGGAGAGAGAATATATATAGAGAGAGAGAATATATATATATAGAGAGAATATATATATATATATATATATAGAGAGAGAGAGAGAGAAAGGGATAGAGAATATATATATAGAGAGAAATATATATATATATATATATATATATATATATATATATATATATATATATATATATATATAGAGAGAGAGAGAGGGAGGGAGAGAGAGAATATATATATAGAGAGAGAATATATATAGATATATATATATATATATATATATATATATATATATATATATATATATATATAGAGAGAGAGAGAGAGAGGAGGGAGAGAGAGATATATATAGAGAGAGAATGAGTGTATATATAGAGAGTATATATATATATATATATATATATATATATATATATATATATATATATATATAGAGAGAGAGGGAGGGAGAGAGAGAATATATATAGAGAGAGAATGAGTGTATATATAGAGAGTATATACATACATATATATATATATATATATATAAAATAGCTGTAACTGCTATATAACGATAAAAAAATTACTACATTACTCAAAAATCGAAAACCGAATAGTGTAAATAAAAAAATAAAAAAATTAATAAGCAAATAAATACAGAAGTAAAAATTAATCAAATAAATAAACAAATTAACATTTTTTCCCGCTAAAATAACTGTTAGAAATAATAAAAAATAAACCTAAATAAGCAAAAACAAATAAAAATAATCAATCCAAATAAATAAATTAATTAATTAATACACAAATTAAACACATCGAGGTTGATATGCCGTAAAAAAAAAAAATATATACTGAGATAGATAGATAGCTAGATAGGTAGATAAAAATGTATTACCAGCAATAAAAAATCTTGTCGGCATTAAATAACCCATTGAGGCTGATATGCCGTAAACAAACCAATATATACTGAGATAGATAGATAGATAGATAGATAGATAGATAGATAGATAGATAGATAGATAACAATGTATTACCAGCAATAAAATAAACTACCCATTGAGGTTGATATGCCGTAAAACAAAATACGCCAAACACACCACACCATATTTTTTTATGGAAGATCATCGAATGAAGAGAGTTGAAGAATACACAATGTGTGGGATATAAATGTAAGCTGAGGCCGTAGAAAGCGAATATAATAAGGATGAGGAAGCTAGATAATAACTGACCTTAACTTGAAGAGGTAAAAATGTTAGTATCCGAGGAAGCATGTATGCAGGCAGTCATTCTCCACTGTGGCAGTCCTTGGAGAAAGCTGAGTCGAAGTTTCTCTCAGGGAATAGGGAGTAAATGAGGAGCATTCGACAACTGGATATGGCTTGGCATGTCCTAGCAGAAAGGTTCCGAACTGGTTGAACAAAAGAATGGAGCTCTCATCTGAACATTCACCATGATAATTGATTTCACAACACTTTGACACAAGTCACTGGATTCAACCGACAGATTTATCCACTGGGCCATGTGTCCTTGGGGACAGTGGAGAAAAGCCTTGTTTGAATTCAGTTACTTGAGCCTAAGAATTGTGAGTTGGCTACAGCTGAGGTGAACAAAAATACTTGGAGAGTTTATTAAAAAGGGAGATAACTGATACTGGGGCATCCGGAAGAAACATAGCACGTGGAACTAGAACAATAGACCCCGGTGGACGAAATAAAGGGCTCAGTTTGAAATTCCACTTACCTGAAGAAGACCGGAGCGTACAACGTCTGAAACATTTGTGAATATGACAACGAAGGTGAGGACAACAGTCCGAATGAAGTAAATAGTGTAAATACCTCATCTCAGAAATATAGACAGATATAGCTCCTCAGCTGGGTTTTAAAAAACTGTATTTGATATCACTCGATCTGCGGGCTAGGAATCATATGACAATGCATAAATCTTTACAAACCAAATGGATACTTACCTGGCACAGGTCAGGGTGTATCGCGGCTATGACTACCTTAGACGAGCTCTGACCAGCTTGGACAATTTAAGACCAGCTAAAGCCAGCGACCCTAGTGGAAACACTCGGATCCTCGCGTTAAAAAACCGACTTTGTGACATATTGACTCAGTGGGGGTGGTCAAATAAGTCTCTACTCACCTGGCACAGGGGGTATCACGGCTATAGCTGGCTTAGACAAGCTCTGACCATCTTGGACAAGCTCTGACTAGCTTAGACCAGTGGAAACACTCGGGTCCCCACGTTAAAAACCGACCTGTGTCATAACCTGACTCAGTGGCGGTGGTGGAGTTGGGGGGGGGGTCGTTCAAGTAAATTGCCTTTACACACCAAATGTCCTTTTCGAAAGAACTAATGGATTTTTATTTATTAATCCGACGTTATTTTTAGTGGCGAATATTCTTTCTGACAGACGAAAATATATAAATATACTCTGATAAATAAACGAAGCGTCTACAGAAATATGAATAGGCACCAAAAATAATCGACTAAAAAAAATCCACTAAAAATATCGTTTGAATTGATAAGAAACACCAAAATGTATAAAATATATACATACTTATATATATATATATATATATATATATATATATATATATATATATATATATATATATATATCTATGTTAGAATGTTCGAAAAAAGTAATTCCGTGGTATCATAATGGATATTCAAAACATATGTAAGTTAAATTTATTTAAATATTACCGTAATTTTCCATGTATAAGACGCCTTCATCCATAATACACCTCCTAAAATTGTGCTCAAAATGTGGGGAAATGCTTGTACTCACGCATTATCCGCACCTCCTTTTTGGTAATTAAACCCTATAAATTATACCTCTCCAAGTTCATTACACCCAGCGTATGCTACTCATATTAAAAAATGATTTTAAACGTAGAATAATATTGTTCTAATTTAGTTTTATGATAATTCTTATTTTACATTTGTAAGTATTGTTAGGTACATATGATTGTATTTGACATCCTTATGAGGTCGCAATCACCGAATGTTAGTGTCAATTTGTCGTATGTTTGTGGTGAGTAGTCATTTCGTAACTAAAATCGACCTATGTAATCTTTTGAAGTATTTTTTTAGCTGTGCATAATACGCACCCCTACTTTTACTGGTTATCGTTTAGAAAAAAATGCGTATTATCATGGGGAATTACGGTATTTATCAAAACATGTAATCACCTTCATTTTCAACGACTGCTGGCAAAAGGGGAGGAAAATTTCCGATTCCACGTTTAAAATGACACCGGATTCTTTTTTCTTCGAAAATTTTTAAAAGACGGTTTGTAACTTTTTTTTTTCAGAACCTTTTGCCCCCCTTGCGAAATCTCCAAGTGATAAAAGCAAATAAAAAATATGCACGTGCCTAATCTGATAAGTACAGAGCATTGTTGAGAAACTTCCCATCCTCATGAACTTATTTTTCTTTGATTAGTTTGGCGAAAAGTTCTCATCATTTTACAGTTGAGATGGCGACATGCAACCGTAAGTTCTATGCTAATAGTTTCTTCTTTCGCACTTCTCGCTTGTGAGACTCTCTGTTGGCTTCTTGCTTTCTAATCAACTTTCATCTTCAAAAATTTAAATGCAGTCTCAATCGTTGTCTTCTGCTGTTCTAAAATCCTGTTCTTTTATTGTTCTCTCTCATTAATAATGATTTCTTTTTCTCACATTCTCTTATATTCAGCAACCTCTTACGTCTTAGTAACTTTATTCCCTTACTTGGAGTGAAACAACAAAATGTATTTTGCAGAGGCTGCAGTTAAACAGTACTTTCGACGTAGCGATTCATGCATCCAATCAAATTGCTGACAAAAAAACATCTGTAGAGATGGTCCTACCGTGTTACAGAATTTTCTAATAGGTGATAATTTTCATCTTTCACCAGACATAAACAAGGCATGAAACTCTCTTATTCTAATCGGCGCTGGTTTCTCTTTTTTTTCTTTTATTAAGCGTTTCACACAAAGCAAGGCCGGAAGCCATTAGCACACAAGGGGTTACAGAGAGTTGGAGCGAGAGCAAAGAGGAGTGATAGAGGAAAGGATGAAGAGAAGGATAGGGGATAGATCAAGACATCTGGAGACGTCGATTGACATTACATTTGAATAGTTGGAGATTATAGCTATCAGGGAAACAAGAAAAGAGGAGGGATTTCCTCAGGCCAGAGGTGCGAGACATGAAGCTATTGGAGTAGAAGAGACGGCTACATTTAACAGTTTCGACATTGAAAGGGTGAGAGCGGGATGCCAGCCTAGTAGAACGCTTAAATTCATGAAGTCTGGGAACCAGCGAAAGCAGCTCATCAGAGCAGTTACCGTGAAAGTATTTGTAAAAAAGACAGAGGGAGGCAACGGCACGTGTGTGTGAGAGCGACTGCAGACGAGATGCCAGAGTTAAGCAAAATGTTGAGAAACGGAAAAATTTCCTTAGAAACAAAGAAAAGGGTGCTGGATTGCAATGTGATATCCATCCACTCATGTGGCAGCGAATGTTATACAATCACTCCCCAGATGAGGAAACAAAACTAGAGGCATCAGAAATGGGATACTGAAACAGCAGGAGGATATAAAAATTCCTTGGACGGGATAAGGAAGTAATAAGGAATTCTTCAAGAAAATAGTTATAGAAAGTACAGTTATACTTCTTTTCTTTCTTTCTTTTAATGTGCTATGTCCTTTCAGGACGTAGGCGATCATGGCTCTCCACCTCATTCTATCCCTTGAAACTATCAACAAGTTCCTTCCCTCTGCTTTCTCCCCAAGACCACGTTCTGTCATCCACTTTCTTAAGTCCGCCAGGAAGGTCACGCGTTGTTTTCCCTTGTTTCTCTTTTCCTCTATCCGCCCTGTGAGTATCAGATTCTCCAGGCCCTCCTTGCTCATTATGTGTCCCAGCAACTTCAGCTGCCTCTTCTTGATGTTAAGTATAAGCCTCCTCCTTGTTTTCATCATCTTCAAGACCTCATCGTTGATCACGCGCTCGGTCCATGATATCCTTATCATCCTTCTGTAGAACCACATCTCCGTCGCCTCGAGACTCTTCTTCGTCTTTGAGGAAATCGTCCAAAATTCGCTGACGTAAAGAAAGACAGATTTCACGTAACAGTTCAGTATTCTTTTCTTTGTTACCAAAGATATCCCCCCCTTGCCTCGAAATAATCTGCGCAGCTTTGAAATCAGAAATTTCTTAGATACATAATAAAGGACGGCTTGAAAAACTTGGCCTGCTTTGATGCCTGCAAGACGCTACGATGTATTAGACGCTCCAGCAAAAAATATTGAAGGAAGGAATCGGGAAAAATATGTTTTTCTTGTACTTCACAGCCGCCCCCCACAATTCATATAAAAAGCTTACCAATTCCTCAAGTATGATTACCTGCTGAGCGTGTGAGCAACGATGAGGTCTTGGAGAGGATGCAAACAAGGAGGAAGCTTATACTTAACATCAGGAAGAGGCAGCAGAAATTTCTGGGACACGTAATGAGAAAAGAGGGCTTGGAGAATCTGACACTCACAGAGCTGATAGAGGGGTAAGAGAAACAAGGGAAAGCAACGTGTGGCAAACCTAGCGAGATTAAACAAGTGGGTGAGAGTATAGGGTTTGGGAGAAGTGCCAAAAGGATAAAACATATTGAGAACTACAAGAGATAAGGAGAAATGGAGAGCCATGATTGCCTACGTCCTAAAGGGACACGGCACAAAAAGGAAACGATACATGGATGGCTCGCTGGAGTAGCGGTCGACTGAGAGCTCGAGTTGGCGGCTGATGATAATGGTGGCTGGCTGGAACTGCTGTTGCTGCTGACTGAAATATAAATAAGCACGCACGCAATCACAGAGAGGTGGAAAGAGAGAGAGAGAAAGAGAGGTGGAAAGGGAAAGAAAGAGAGAGGTGAAAGAGAAAGAGGTGGAGAAAGGGAAATAGACGAAAGGGAAAGAAAGAAAAAGAGAGAGGTGGAAAAGAAAGAGGTGGAAAGAGAAAGACGAGGAAAGAGACGGGTGGAAAGGGAAAACAAAAGAGAGGTAGAAAAAATAAGAGGTGGAAAGAGAGAGGTGGAAGGAGAAAGACGAGGAAAGAGACGGGTGAAAGGAGAAAGAGAGGAAAGAGAGGTGGAAAGAGAGAGGTGGGAAAAGACGAGGAAAAAGAGGTGGAAAGGAAAGAAGAGGAAAGAGACGGGTGGAAAAAAGAAGGAAAGGGAAAGAAGAAAGAGAGAAGAAATAGACGGTGGAAAGGGAAAGAAAGAAAGAGAGAGGAAAAAAAGAAAGGTGGAAAGAGAAAAGACGAGGAAAGAGACGGGTGAAAGGGAAAGAAGTAGAAAGAGAGGTGGAAAAAGTAAAGAGGTGGAAAGAGAGGTGGAAGGAAAAGACGAGGAAAGAGAGGGTGGAAAGGGAAAAGAAGTAGAAAGAGAGGTGGAAAAAGCAGAGGAAAAGGAAAAAGAGTGAGAGGTGGAAGGAGAAAGACGAGGAAAGAGACGGGTGGAAAGGGAAAGAAGTAGAAAGAGAGGTGGAAAAAGAAAGAGGTGGAAAGAGAAAGACGAGGAAAGAGACGGGTGGAAAGGGAAAGAAGTAGAAAGAGAGGTGGAAAAAGTAAGAGGTGGAAAGAGAGAGGTGGAAGGAGAAAGACGAGGAAAGAGACGGGTGGAAAGGGAAAAAGAAAGGAAAAGAAAGAGGTGGAGAGAAAGACGAGGAAAGAGACGGGTGGAAAGGGAAAGAAGTAGAAAGAGAGGTGGAAAGAGAGAGGTGGAAGGAGAAAGACGAGGAAATAGACGGGTGGAAAGGGAAAGAAGTAGAAAGAGAGGTGGAAAAAGAAAGAGGTGGAAAGAGAGAGACGAGGAAAGAGAGGGTGGGAAAGGGAAAGAAGTAGACGAGAGGTGGAAAGGGAAAGAAGAAAGACGAGAAATAGACGGGGTGGAAAGGGAAAGAGAAAGAGAGGTGGAAAAGAAAGACGAGGAAAGAGACGGTGGAAAGAAAGACGAGGAAAGACGAGGAAAGAGACGGGTGGAAAGGGAAAGAAGTAGAAAGAGGGTGGAAAGGGAGGTGGAAAGAGAGGAGACGGTGGAAGGAGAAAGACGAGGAAAGAGAAAAGGTGGAAAGGGAGAGGTGGAAGGAGAAAGAGAGGAAAGAGACGGGTGGAAGGGAAAAAGAGGTGGAAAGAAAGAGGTGGAAAAAGAAAGAAAGAGAGAGGTGGAAAGAGAAAGAAGGAAAGAGACGAGAAAGGGAAAAGAAAGAGAAAGAGGTGGAAAGAAAGAGGTGGAAGGAGGAAAGAGAGGGACGAAGTGGAAAGGGAAAGAAGACGAGAAAGAGAGGGGTGGAAAAAAGTAAGAGGTGGAAAGAGAGAGAGGTGGGAAGGAGAAAGACGAGGAAAGAGACTGGTGGAAAGGGAAAGAAGTAGAAAAGAGAGGTGGAAAAAAAGAGGGAAGGAGAAAGAGAAAAAAGACGAGTGGAAGGGAAAGACGAGGTGGAAAGGAAAGAAAGAGAGAGAGAGGGGAGGAAAAAAGTAAAGAGGAGGTGGAAAGAGAGGTGGAAGGAGAGAGACGAGGAAGACGAGGAAAGGACGGGTGGAAAGGGAAAGAAGTAGAAGAGAGGGAAAAAGAGAGAGGTGGAAAGAAAGAGGAGGAAAGAGAAAGACGAAAGGAAAGACGGGTAGAGAGGGTGGAAAAAGAAAGAGGAGGTGGAAAGAGAGAGGTGGAAGGAGAAAACGAGGAGAGGGGTGGAAAGGAAAAGAAGTAGAAAGAGAGGTGGAAGAGAGAAAGACGAGGAAAGAGACGGGGGAAAGGAAAGAAGTGAAAGAGAGGTGGAAAAAGTGGAAAGAGAGGTGGAAAAGAGAGACGAGGTGGAAGACGGGTGAGAAAGACGAGGAAAGAGAGGGTGGAAAGGGAAAAGAGGTAGAAAGAGAGAGGTGGAAAAAAAGAGACGGGTGGAAAGGAGAGAAGAAAGAGAGGAAAGAGAAAAGAAAGGGAAAAAGAGAAAGACGAGAAAAGAGACGGGTGGAAAAGGGAAAGAAGTAGAAAGAGGTGGAAAAAAAGAAAGAGGTGGGAAGGAGAAAGACGAGGAAAGAGACGGGGTGGAAAGGGAAAGAAGTAGAAAGAGAGGTGGAAAAGTAAGAGGGGAAAGAGAAGAAGGAGAGGGAAAGAGACGGGTGGAAAGGGAAAGAAGTAGAAGAGGGAAGAGAGGAAGAGAGAAGGGAAAAGGAAGTAAGGGAGAGAGGGGAAAAAGAAAGAGGTGAGGAAAAGACGAGGAAAGACGGGTGGAAAGGGAAAGAAGTAGAAAGAGAGGTGGAAAAAGAAAGAGGTGGAAAGAGAGAGACGAAAGGAAAGAGAAAGAGACGGTGGAAAGGGAAAAAGAAAGAGAGGTTGAAAAAGAAGAGGTGGAAAAGAGAAGGGGAAAGACGAGGAAAAGACGGGTGAAAGGAAAAGAAGAAAAACGAGAGAAAGAGACGGGAAAGAGAAAAGGGAAAGAAGGAAAGAGAGAAAGTAAGAGGTGGAAAGAGAGAGGTGGAAGGAGAAAGACGAGGAAATAGACGGGTGGAAAGGGAAAGAAGTAGAAAGAGAGAGGTGGAAAAAGAAAGAGGTGGAAAGAGAAAGACGAGGAAAGAGACGGGTGGAAAGGGAAAGAAGTAGAAAGAGAGGTGGAAAAAGGAAAGAAAGACGAGGAAAAAGACGGTGGAAAAAGGTAGAAAGAGAGGTGGAAAGGAGGTGGAAAAGAGAGAGAGAGAAAGAGAAAAGGACGGGTGGAAAGGGAAAGAAGAAGAAAGAGAGGTGGAAAGAGAGGTGGAAAGAGAGAGGTGGAAGGAAAGACGAGGATAGAGACGGGTGGAAAGGAAAAGAGAGGAAAAGAAAGAGGTGGAAAGAGAAAGAGGAGGAAAGAGAGGGTGGAAAGGGAAAGAAGAAGAAAGAGGTGGAAAAAGTAAGAGGTGTAAAGAGAGGTGGAAGGAGAAAGACGAGGAAATAGACGGGTGGAAAAGGAAAAGAAGAAAGAGAGAGGTGGAAAAGAAAGAGGTGGAAAGAGAAAGACGAGGAAAGAGACGGGTGGAAAGGGAAAGAAGTAGAAAGAGAGGTGGAAAAAGTAAGAGGTGGAAAGAGAGAGGTGGAAGGAGAAAGACGAGGAAATAGACGGGTGGAAAGGGAAAAGAAGAGGTGGAAAGAGAGGTGGAAAAGAAAAGAGGGGTGGAAAGAGAAAGAGAGGTGGAAAAGAAAGAGGTGGAAAGAGAGAGGTGGAAGGAGAAAGACGAGGAAAGAGACGGGTGGAAAGGGAAAGAAGTAGAAAGAGAGGTGGAAAGAGAGAGGTGGAAGGAGAAAGACGAGGAAATAGACGGGTGGAAAGGGAAAGAAGTAGAAGAGGGGAAAAGAAGAAAGAGAGGTGGAAGGAGAAAGACGAGGAAAAAAGTGGAAAGGGAAAGAAGGAAAGAGAGAGGTGGAAAAGGAGGAAAGAAAGACGAGGAAAAGAGAGAAAGGGAAAGAAGGGAAAGAGAGGGTGGAAAAAGAGGGTGGAAAGAAGGTGGAAGGAGAAAGAGAGAGGACGGGGTGGAAAAAGAAAGAGAAAAGAAAGAGGTGGAAAAAGAAAGACGAGGAAAGAGAAAGAAGGGTGGAAAAAAGGGAAAGAAAGGAGAGACGAGAAAAGAGAAAAGAGAGGAGAGGTGGAAAAGTAAGAGGAGAAAGGAAAAAGAGAGGTGGAAGGGAAAGAAAGAAAGAGAGAGGTGGAGAAAGACGAGGAAAGACGAGAAAAGGGTGGAAAGGGAAAGAAGTAGAAAGAGAGGTGGAAAGAGAAAGAAAGAGGTGGAAAGAAAAAGAAAGAGGAAAAAAGAAAGATGGGAAAGAGAAAGACGAGGAAAGAGAGGAAAAAGAGAGGTGGGGAAAAGTAAGACGGAAAGAGAGAGGTGGAAGGAAAAGAGAGGAAATAGACGGGTGGAAAGGAGAAAGAAAGAGAGAGGAAAAAGAAAAGAGGTGGAAAGAGAAAGAGGAAAGAGAAAGACGAGGAAAGGACGGGTGGAAAAGGAAAGAGGTAGAAAAGAGAAAGAAGAGGAAAGAGAGGTGGAAGGGTGGAAAGGGAAAGAAGGTGAAAGAGAGAGGTGGAAAAGAAAAAAAAGGGTGGAAAGAGAAAGACGAGGAAAGAGACGGTGGGAAAAGGGAAAGAAAAGAGAGGTGGAAAGAGAAAGACGAGGAAAACGACGGTGGAAAGAGGTGAAAGAGAGAAATGAGGTGGAAGAGAGAAAGAAAGACGAGAAAAAGAGACGGGGTGGAAAGGGAAAGAAGAAGAAAGAGAGGTGGAAAAGAAAAGAGGAAAGAGAGAGGTGAAGAGAAAGACGAGGAAAGAGACGGGTGGAAAGGGAAAGAAGTGAAAGAGAGGTGGAAAAAGAAAGAGGTGGAAAGAGAAAGACGAGGAAAGGGAAAGAGAAAGAGAGGTGGAAAGGGAAAGAAGAGGTGGAAGGAGAAAGACGAGGAAATAGACGGGTGGAAAGGGAAAGAGAGGAGAAAGGTGGAAAAGAAAGATGGAAAGAGAAAGACGGGAAAAGAGACGGTGGAAAGGAAAGAAAGAAAGAGAGGTGGAAAAAGTAAGACGGGGAAAGGGAAGGAGAAAGACGAGGAAAGGACGGGTGGAAAGGAAAGAAGTAGAAAGAGGTGGAAAGAGAAAGACGAGGAAAGAGACGGGTGGAAAGGGAAAGAAGTAGAAAGAGAGGTGGAAAAAGTAAGAGGTGGAAAGAGAGAGGTGGAAGGAGAAAGACGAGGAAATAGACGGGTGGAAAGGGAAAGAAGTAGAAAGAGAGAGGTGGAAAAAGAAAGAGGTGGAAAGAGAAAGACGAGGAAAGAGAAAGACGAGGAAAGAGGGACGGAGGTGGAAAAAGAGAAAGAAGAAAAATAGAGAGGTGGAAAAAAGAGAAGAGGTGGAAAAGAGAGAGGTGGAAGGAGAAAGACGAGGAAATAGACGGGGTGAAAGGGAAAGAAGTAGAAAGAGAGAGGTGGGAGAAAGACGAAAATAGAGGTGGAAAGAGAAAGAAGAGGAAAGAGACGGGTGGAAAAAGGAGGTGGAAAAGAGAAAGAGAGAAAGAGGGTGGAAAAAAGAAGTAGAAAGAGAGGTGGAAAGAGAGAGGGAAAGGAAGGGAAGGAGAAAGACGAGAAATAGACGGGTTGAAAAGGGAAAGAAGTAGAAAGAGGGAAAGAGAGAAAAGGAGAGAGGGAAATAGACGGGTGGAAAAAAGAAAGAGGAGGGTGGAAAGAGAAAGAGAGAGGAAAGAGACGGGGACGGGTGGAAAGGGAAAAGAAAAGAAGAGGTGGAGAGAGGTGGAAAAAAGACGAGGAAAGAGACGGGTGGAAAGGAAAGGTGAAAGAAAGAGAGGTGGAAGGAGAAAGACGAGGAAATAGACGGGTGGAAAGGGAAAAAGAAGTAGAAAAAGAGAGGTGGAAAAAAAGAAAGAGACGGGGTGGAAAGAGAAAGACGAGGAAAGAGAAGGGTGGAAAGGGAGGTGGAAGGAAAAGACGAAAGCAGGGTAAAAAGAGAGAAAGAGGAAAAAGAGAGGTGGAAAGAGAAAGACGAGGAAAAAGACGGGGTGGAAAGGGAAAAGAAGTAGAAAGAGAGGTGGAAAAAGAGGTGGAAAGAGAGAAAGGGTGGAAGGAAGAAGAAAAGAGAGGTGGAAATAGACGGGTGGAAAAGACGTGAAAGAATTGGAAAGAGAGAGGTGGAAAAGAAAGAAAAAGGTGGAAAAGAGAGAGGTGGAAAGAAACTTTAATCATTATGCACCTGACGGCCGACATACGTACGATTCACAGACTTCCGCATTCATCCATTGGCGGCCCCAATCTTAACATAAGATACACAGATAACACAATGCCGTCTGCTGCTGGAACAGATACTACACTTTGATCCTAGACAACTTGATCAGGATTCGTTGTTTTTTTTTTTTTTTTTTTTGTTTTTTAGGTATTTTTATGTGCAGCATCAGTTTTACAGAAGTGGCTGGTTCCGGAAGGTGAACTTTGTATTTCCGGTTTTTTTTCTTCATTTTTTTTTAATCAGAGAGTGCTGATAGGATACAACAGAAGCATCCATACCCTTTCTAATTTCATACAGTAAGCAATATCCCATAGATTTTTTTGTTTTAATCCTTCAGAGGTTTAATCTTTGATGTATACCGTAAGCGTCAGACTATCGATACAAGAGATGATAAACTACTTCTACGCGCAGTTTTTCTACAATTCAACCTTGTTTCTGCCTTATTTGGTCAGTTAATATTTCATAGCGATGGTATCCGTATATATTTCCGAGATCTCTGATATAGTATACTACAGAACTAAAATATAGCAGAATAAAATCGGTTATTATTATCCGAACATATGCAGATGACACAGTGTTGGTAGCAGACACGCAAAAAAAAAACACTACAAAATCACCTACAGAAAACGAGATGGAAGAATTAAACAACAGTTGCAAGAATAGAGAATGTATGGTTGTTAACAAAAGAATGAGCCAAAAATGCAAATTTTTAATTGGATTTACCAAATTTAAACAAGTACAAAAATGTAAATATATAGGAAGTGTTTTTGAACAGAGGACGGAAAGTGCGACACTGAAATCGGAAGTTGCATTTGGATAGCGAAAGATGCCTTCCAAAAGCTAAGCAAAGTATTAAGAAACAGAAAAACAAAAGGAAAAGGTGCTAAACTGTTATGTGATATCTGTCCTTCTGTATGGCAGTGAGTGATGGGAAATCTCTTCAAAGACGAAGAAGGGCAGTGATTCAAGAGTTTTACAGAAGGATGCTCAGGATAACATCCATGGATTATGGAGCGAAGTTTTAGAGAAAATGTAGCGAACATTTGGAGAACATGGGACGAAGATTACGTGAAAACGGAACGAAGATTTAGAGAAAATGGAAAACAAAAAGTAAACTTATATTTAACATCAGAAAGGGGCAGTTGAAATTTCTAAAGCTTATAATGAGAAAAGAGGGCTTAGAAAATTTGTTACTCACAGATGGAAAGAGGGATATAGGAAAAAAACGCATAACCTACTTAGGGAATTTGAGCAAGTGGGTTTATGAGAAATAAAAAGAAATTTATTAATAGATACAAATTACAAGAAATTGTGGAGAACTATGATCGCCAACGTCCTGAGGGAGACATGGCGCATAAAGAAGAAAAGATTATTATCAGAACCAGAGCCAAAAAAAAAAACAAGGGTAAAAAAAAATTAAAATATAGAGCAAACCAAACGATTTAAGAAATAAATACACGAAAAGTAGAAAGAGAAAGAAAACGTTCCTTTTTCCCCACTTTTCGGCGCAGCGGTCAGTCTTGTACTTTTCAAATCAAAGATCAGAGATGATGACGACGGACATAGCATCATCAGCCGGATCAAAAGATGATGACGAATGAAGGAGAGTTAAGAAAAAGGCGGGAAGTAGGCCCGGAAGGTGATACAGCGATCTGTGAAGAACAAGGCACAGTGGAGTTGGGGGGGAGGGGGTAATGGATAGAAGAAGATAAGAGATAAGTGATGAGGGGACATTTTTGTGGAGGAGATGCTATCTTTGTCAGCCATATTCACCCCGAAGCAGAACTGTTGGATAAGAAGCTGCCGCCGCCGCTTTCTCCACCCCACACCGCCTCTAAGAAAAGAGTTCACGGGGACATCTGGTCATTCAGATGTTCGAGAGAGTGATCCGTAACAGCATTTCCCTGTCACCGGGTATGGATGGAGAGCTATAGATGAGTGAATGTTTTATATTTCAGTTGCATCACCCAGATGCAAGAACACTTATTCTGGTTCAATGTCTGGTAAATATAAGGGCAATTGTAAAACTGACTGTTTCCATAGAAACTAATTGACCGAACAGTTAGTGTTACTGTATTTTTTTTTAATCGAATGTGGTTGAAATTTATAATTTTTTTTTCTTGAAATTTTTTTTTTTTTCTGGAAACCAGATTTTTCAAGCCAACTAAATGTTATAATAATGTTTATGTCGAAATTCCATACAAAAAAAAAAAAAAAAAAATCAGTACTCATTGATCGAACAGTTAGTTTTACTGTATTTTTTTTTTTAAACGAATGTGGTTGAAATTTATAAAATCTTTTTCTTGAAACAGTTATTTTTTTCAGGAAACCAGATTTCTCAAGTCCACTAAACATTATGATAATGTTAATGTAGAGATTCCATACCAAAAAAAAAAAAAAAATCAGTACTCATTGATCGACTAGATAGCGTGCCAATCATTCCCAAACACTACAGCGCGCCTCATAGTTGCGGTGGAATAGGGTAGCAGGTGAGGCGGAATAATTGAAAGATACAGTTTCAAAATATTCATATGCACAAAAGAAAATAAGATAACAAAATTTAAAATATTATTATGGATTATCCACGGTTATCTCCCTTTATCCCCGCATCTGCACCTTCTTTGCCGTTCTGGATTATTAATGCTGACAAACATGAAAGACAAAAAAAAAAAAAAAAAAGGAAAGAAGATTACACATCAAAAACAAACTCACACCTTTCATTAAATTTGTGCATTTTAATCATTTAAGGTATCTGTGCTATATATTATTTCAAACGCATACCAGGTAAGGCGGAAGAGGATAGTAGGTGAGGCGAAAGAGGATAGCAGGTGGGGCGAAAGAGGATAGCAGGTGAGGCATAAGAGGATAGCAGGTGAGGCGAAAGAGGATAGCAGGTAGGGCGAAAGAGGATAGCAGGTGAGGCGAAAGAGGATAGTAGATGAGGCGAAAGAGGATATCAGGTGAGGCGAAAGAGGATAGTAGGTGAGGCAGAAGAGGATATCAGGTGAGGCGAAAGAGGATAGTAGGTGAGGCAGAAGAGGATATCAGGTGAGGCGAAAAAGAGGATAGTAGGTGGGGCAGAAGAGGATAGCAGATGAGGCCGAAGAGGATAGCTGGTTAGGCGGAAAGAGGATAGCATGAATCCCAGTATAAAGAATTATAAATAATTAAAGAGGATTTATCATTCCGATATGTTTGCATTATATCGAAAGAGGATAGTATAGGCGAAAGAGGATGACCGAGGCGAAAGAGGAGAGAGTTATCGAAAGGTAATGTTCTGACTTCGAAAACCGGATTATCTCCTTTTAACCGCCCATCAGCACCTTCATTGCCAAATAATTTTAAATGATTAGCATGAAAAAAACCAAAAAAAGGGATATGTTTGATTATATCAATTATTAAAATATATACCTCGTGATTAAAATTGAGCAGAACTCAGTTAGGTATCTGTAATATATGACTTCAAAACCGCATTATCTCCTTTAACCGCCCATCAGCACCTTCATTGCCATTCTAGATTTTTAAGCAGGTGCATGAAAACCAAAAAAGGAAAGAGGATATTACAAAAGACAAACTCATACCTTTCATTAAATTTGTGTATTTTAATCATGTAAGGTATCTGTGTTATATATCATTTCAATCGCATAGCAGGTGAGGCGGAAGAGGATAGCAGATGTGGCGGAAGAGGATAGCAGGTGGGGGGAAGAGGATAGTGGGGGGCGGAAGAGGATAGCAGGTGGGGCGGAAGAGGATAGTAGGTGGGGCGGAAGAGGATAGCAGGTGAGGCGGAAGAGATAGTAGGTGGGGCGGAAGAGGATGATAGGGTGGGGCGGAAGAGGATAGCAGGTGAGGCGGAAGAGGATAGCAGGTGGGGCGGAAGAGGATAGCAGGTGGGGGCGGAAGAGGATAGTAGGTGAGGCGGAAGAGGATAGCAGATGTGGCGGAAGAGGATAGCAGGTGGGGCGGAAGAGGATAGCAGGTGGGGCGGAAGAGGATAGTAGGTGAGGCGGAAGAGGATAGCAGGTGGGGCGGAAGAGGATAGTAGGTGGGGCGGAAGAGGATAGCAGGTGAGGCGGAAGAGGATAGCAGGTGGGGCGGAAGAGGATAGCAGGTGGGGCGGAAGAGGATAGTAGGTGAGGCGGAAGAGGATAGCAGATGGGCGGAAGAGGATAGCAGGTGAGGCGGAAGAGGATAGCAGGTGGGGCGGAAGAGGATAGTAGGTGGGGCCGGAAGAGGATAGCAGGTGAGGCGGAAGAGGACAGCAGGTGGGGCGAAGAGGATAGTAGGTGGGGCGGAAGAGGATAGCAGGTGAGGCGGAAGAGGATAGCAGGTGGGGCGGAAGAGGATAGCAGGTGGGGCGGAAGAGGATAGCAGGTGAGGCGGAAGAGGATAGCAGGTGGGGCGGAAGAGGATAGTAGGTGAGGCAGAAGAGGATAGTAGGTGGGACGGAAGGGGATAGCAGGTGAGGCGGAAGAGGATATCAGGTGAAGCGGAAGAGGATAGCAGGTGAGGCGGAAGTGGATAGCAGGTGGAGTGGAAGAGGATATCAGGTGAGGCGGAAGAGGATAGCAGGTGAGGGGGAATGATTGAAAGACAATCAAAGATTTAGAAACAACTGATATGCTAAAAATAAATTTGATTTGTATATTTAAAATATAATTATCGATTACTTATAAATGTATGCATGAGTCTCAGTATAAATAGGTATAAATAATTATTGACTGAATTCATCATTGTGATATTTTTGCATTATATCAAGTATTAAAAATACAGTAACTAGGCTCCGCATATTGGAGGGGAGAGTTATCAATGATAATTTTCTCACACTGAATTATCTCTCTTTAACCTTTTCTCTGTATTTTTTCTTATTTTTAAATCTTCTTTTCATCACATAAAATTTGCTGAGGCGCGAACAAATTCTAATTCAGAAAATGCGGCCCAGAGACATACATTTTGGGAACCACTGAGTGTGGCTGTCAGTTGAAATTTATAAAATGTTTTCTAAAAATAGTTTTTGTCGGGAAATCATTATCTTTTTTTAAAGTTCAATAAATGTGATAACTAATTTTAATAATAATCGGAGTTACTTTTCACTCGTTTTGTATTTTTGCCTAAATTATAGGCATGATGAGTTATCATTATTTCTCAGGTCATCCCATAAGTTCTGTCCGAATTTTAACTTTTTGTTAAAATGAACGAAATTTAAAGGGTATTTTATAATGTCCAATGGAGCTGAACATTATTTTTATGTTTAGATGCATTTAAACTGATCAAATTTTATTTCAGAGAAAAATAAAATTAAATTTTGTTTAATTAAAACCCTGCTAACATGGAAGTACCCAAGAATCATTTGAGGCATGTAATGCTTTATGAGTTCAAGAAAGGAAACACAGCAGCCGAAGCGGCTAGAAACATTCACTCAGTTTATGAAGAGGAATGTGTGAATGAAAGAAGATGGTTTGCAAAATTCAGAGGTGGAAATATCAGCCTTGAAGATAAAGATCGAACTGGACGTCCAGTTGAGTTTGATGAAAAGCTTCTTGAAGCAGCCCTTGAAGAAAATTCTGCTTTATCAGTTGAGGAATTGGCAATGGTTCTCAGTTCAAACGATACAACAGTTCATCGTCATCTTCAACAACTTGGAAAAGTTCCTAAACATGAAAAATGGGTGCCTCATGAATTGTCTGAAAACAACTTCAAATCCCGAGTTGACACCTGCCCTTCTCTCCATTCTCGCCAACTTGTTTCGCCTTTTTTGGATAGACTTGTGACTGGCGACAAAAAATGGATCCTTTATCGAAATGTTAAGCATCGTTGACAGTGGCTTGGTAAAGGGGAAGGACCCCAGCCAAAAGCCGAGAAGGGAACTTCATGGACAAAAGGTTCTTCTTTCAATCTGGTGGGGTCGCCAAGAAATAATCCACTTTGAATTCTGCCACCTAATGCAACAATTAATGCTCAAATATACTGTCAGCAATTAGGCGTTTGAACCAAGCTGAGGGAAAAAAGACCTGCTCTAGTGAATCGAAAAGAGGTGATGTTTCATCAGGACAATGCGCAACCCACACAGCAAAAAATTACGTCACAAAATGATCGAAGAACTTGGTTGAGAGAAAATTTCTCATCCACCTTATTCTCCTGATCTTGCTCCTTCAGACTACCATTTGTTTCGTAGCTTACAGAATCATTTGGAAGAAACAGCTTTTGTAACACAGGAAGAGGTTAAAACTGACATTTGCGAGTTCTTCGAATCAAAGCCAAAAGAATTTTACAGTAATGTAATTAGTAAGCTTGTTAATAGATGGAAGGAAGTCATAGATAATCAGGGAAAATAGATTGTTGATTGAAACTGTAATTAAATGTAACATTTGGTCACTTGTTTTCTTTATTCAAAATCCGGACAGAACTTATGGGATGACATGTTACAATATTTAAATGTGGACTATTGTCCTTATCTTTGTTGTTATTCCATCATTTTGGCTGTTGTGCCATTTTTCTTTTTGTTGGTCGGAAAAGTGACCAGCGTAACGTGATTGTAAGAAGCAAAAGACAACGAAGTAAAATCAATTTTGGTCTTGGAAAGATAACATAATTTCGATCCCGAAATCAAAGGAAAAATAGAAAACAACGCTAAAAAACGTAAGATATGTAGATAAAAAAGGAAGAAAGAAGATATTTTTGAGAAAATGAATGAAAGAAAAGATAGCATTTAAAAGAAAGAAAGAAAGAAAGAAAGAAAGAAAGAAAGACAGAAAAAAGAGTGAGAAAGTAAAACACATTTTTAAAAGTATGAATGAAAGAAAAGATGATCTTTAACAGAAAGATGAAAAGAAAGAAAGAAAGAAAGAAAGAAAGAAAGAAAAAGAAAAAGGGATAAAGGAATAGTAATATCAAAGAAAGAAAGAAAGAAAGAAAGAAAGAAAGAAAAGGGATGAAGGAATAGTAATATCAAAGAAAGAAAGAAAGAAAGAAAGAAAGAAAGAAAGAAAGAAAAGGGATGAAGGAATAGTAATATCAAAGAAAGAAAGAAAGAAAGAAAGAAAAAGAAAAAGGGATGAAGGAATAGTAATATCAAAGAAAGAAAGAAAGAAAGAAAGAAAGAAAGAAAGAAAAAGGGATGAAGGAATAGTAATATCAAAGAAAGAAAGAAAGAAAGAAAGAAAGAAAGAAAAAAAAAAAAGAAAGAAAGAAAAAGGGATGAAGGAATAGTAATATCAAAGGAAGAAAGAAAGAAAGAATAAAGAATGAATGAAACAATTTTTGCACGAAAGAAAAAGAAAGACAGAAAGAAAAGTAACAATATAAAATAAATTTAGAAAGAAAGAAAGAAAAACAATATCAAGGAAAGAAAATGCTCATAAACAGCATGTGACTGACGTAAAATAAAAACCAATAAAAATTGCAATTATTTCTTTTAAATTCAAATGGAAAAAAGACGAAAGAGAATATGTATCTTGAGTTAATTCAGAAAATTCCGAATGGAAAGGAAACTAAACAGAAAATTGCGGAGATCGTTCTTAGAATCCAGTTAAAAACCTGGACAGTTAAATAATAAATTTCTCATTTGGCAGACACGCACACCCTCATTTGGGAACAATGACGTAACAAAGTCTTCCTTTATCCATTTTTACTCCAACACGAATACCGTCCCAAAGAAACGAAATTACGAAAAGCGAGTGGCAAAAAAAAAAAAAAAAAAAAAACTTGCTTTGAAGGGAACGTTTCGAAAATTCAACTAAAAAAAAAAGGAAGAGAAAAAAAATAAACAAATGAAAAATAAACATAAAATTAATAAAAAGAAAATTTTTTGCCAACAATATTCGACAAGACTTATTGCGATGCAAATAAGACGGAAGTCTGTGATATGAAGAGTCGTTTCCCTTGAATGCGTTCTTCAGGTCGATGTTTGAAAACGGTAGACAGACAAACACATTGCAACATCAGATTGCCCAATGGGCTAATTCGTGACAAATCGTAGGATGATCGTGCTTCCCCCCCAGACACGGATATCGTCTCAATAGTTTCCGGCGAACTCTGCAAATACTCATCAAGTTAGAAGGAACCTTGGAGAAATCAAGCAGGTAAGAAAGAAAATAATATAAGATAATGACCGAGAAAGAAGGAAACAAATGAAGAAAGTGTTCAGTTAAGAAACATGAAAGAGGGGATGCTAGAGAGACGGAAAGAAACAATTTGGAAGAAAGAAAAAAAAAGAAAAAAAAAAGAAAGAATGAAAGAATGAAAGAAAGAAAGAAAGAAAGAAAGAAAGAAAGAAAACAAATCTTTGAAAGAAAGAAAAACAGTTTTGAAAGATTGAAAGAAAATATGGTCTTTAAAAGAAGAAAGAAAGAAGGACAGAAAGAAAGGAAAAAAATGAAAGAAAAGCAAATCTTTGAAAGAAAGAAAGAAAGAAAACAAATATTTGAAAGAAAGAAAAGCAATTTTGAAAGAATGAAAGAAAAGATGTTTTTTAAAGAAGAAAGAAAGAAAAAATGTAATAAATGCAAATCTTTGAAAGAAAGAAAGAAAGAAAGAAAGAAAACAAATATTTGAAAGAAAGAAAAGCAGTTTTGAAAAAATGAAAGAAAAGATGGTCTTTAAGAGAAGAAAGAAAGAAAGAAAGGAAAAGATGAAAGAAAAACAAATCTTTGAAAGAAAGAAAACCAGTTTTGAAAGATTGAAAGAAAATATGGTCTTTAAAAGAAGAAAGAAAGAAAGAAGGACAGAAAGAAAGGAAAAAATGAAAGAAAAGTAAATCTTTGAAAGAAAGAAAGAAATAAAGAAAGAAAGAAAGAAAGAAAGTTAGAAAGAAAGAAAAGCAATTTTGAAAGTATGAAAGAAAAGATAGCATTTAAAGGAAAAAAGAAAGAAAGAAAGAAAGAAAGAAAGAAAGAATGAAGAAAATCAAAACTTTTAAAAAATAAAAAAGAAAAGTAGCTTTGAAAGAATGAAAGAAAATGATCTTTAAAAGAAAGAAAGAAAGAAAGAAAGAAGTGATGAAAGAAAGAAAGAAGTGATGAAAGAAAGAGTGAAAATGAAACCTTTAAAAGAAAAAAAAGCAGTTTTGAGAGAATGACAGAAATTTGATCTTTAAAAAAGAAGAAAGAATGAATGAAATAAAAAAGAATGAAAGAAAAATAAATCTTTGAAAGAAAGACAAGTAGTTTTGAAAGAATGAAAGAAAAGGAAGAAAGAAAGAGAAAAAGAAAGAAAGAAGGAACGAAAGAAAGAATGAAAGAAAAGCAAAACTCTGAAAGAAAGACAAGTAGTTTTTAAAGAATGAAAGAAAAGTTGTAATTTTATGAGAAAGAAAGAAAAATTAAAGAAAGAGAGAAAGAAAAAAATAAAGAATGAAAAAGCAGATCTTTGAAAAAAAGAAAAACAGTTTTAAACGAATGAAAAAAAAGCAAATCTTTGGAAAAAAGAAAGAAAACCAGTTTTGAAAGAAGGAGAGAAAAAAATCTTTGAAAAAAAGAAAGAATGAAAGAAAACGCTTTTCAAAGAATGAAAGAACAGATGGTCCTTAAGAGAAAGAAAGAATGAATGAAAGAAAAGCAAATCTTTGAAAGAAAGAAAGAAAGAAAGAAAGAAAGAAAGAAGGTAACATAAAATAGAAAACAAAGGAAAGAAGAAATAAAGAAAAGAAATGAATGAAAAAATGAAAGCCAGAAAGAAAAAGAATGAAAAAGGAAGAAATGCTTGAATAAAAGACAGAGAGAAATTGAAAATGATGTCAAATGAAGAAGAAAAAAGATTAAAGGTGACCAAAAAACCAAATTATGGAATGACTGCAGGAAGAAATGATTTTATTAACGCGAATAAAAAAAGGAAATTATTATTAATTATTACAAAGTTGAACCAAGAACATTTCAGCGCCCGCGTCTTCGTAAACCAATTAGAAGTGAACATATACTGTAAATGTCCTAAAGTCATGTTACACGTCATGCGCCATATGTTTTAAATTCTAATGTTTCGATCGCACTAATATCGCAAAATATGATTTCACATAAGAAATTAAAAGGCTCCATCCGTGTGGAATTAATCACAAGACATTGGCATTCAGTGAGAGATCGAACTTCTTGTAATTGACCAGCTTTACAACATTATCGATCTAAACGTTTGAACCAGCGGATGAAGTTGGCTAACAGAAGAAGGTGGCACAAAATTACAACAGAATCACCGGTAGTCCGTTGCAGTTTCGCAACTGGATTCCGTATGTGACACAGAGTAAGCTCATGAAATCAAGTGTGTGCGTCACTTCTTGGTAAGTTGAGGCCCACTTTAAACAAATTCAGGCCACTGGTACTTTCTTCTACTCTGGTGTTTTTTCACCTCTAACCAAATCTTGCAAAGCCAATCGGTGAATTTAGCCATCAACGCCATCATCATAAAGGAAGCGATCAGCAAAGTTAACAGTTAAATTCTTGGATACGAAATAAAGCCGAAAACGACGAATCGAAAGAGGCCTCAGTACTAACTCCACGGAGGTAACCACGGTAATGTATACCAAGTTAATTTTATCTGGGCTTCATGAGCAAGGATGGCCATATACCGTCCTATTTCTTAGCGCCATTGTCATCTACAAAGAATTGCTAGACGCGATGGTGAAGATCTGAATAGGGAAATTGTCAAGATCATGTCACTCCTAACAGGTGGTCACCTCGTTCTTCTGAAACGAATCCCCTGGGTTAGTTTGCCTGGGGCATCGTCGAAGTGTAGCTCCACTACAATATGTGGGATTCCTTGAGGTTTGCATTCTCGACGTGATGGCCATTACAATTAAAATACACCTGATCCGGGCATGCAGTTCGTTTTCGAACGCTGTATGGAGATTATTCTTGAGGATGAGGGCGATTTTACTGAATAAGCCTATTGTAAGCTTTTCGCTATTAAGTGTACAGATATTTCTCCAGCAAAATATCGCGGTATTTGTTAATGCACATATTTTATTCTGTCTTATTTTTTAAAAATATTTCTTTCATATCATTTCTTCATAAATTTCTCTATATATACACTGTAGACCAGGGGTCGGCATCTCCCGACCCCCAGGCCAAATTTTGCCCGCGAAGCATTTTTGTCCAGCCCGCCAACTTTAACAACTGGACACAAATTATTTAATTAATTTGTTGAGCAAGTGGCAGAAATATATCAGTTGGAGTTAAGCAAATTACAATGCGACGAAATTTTAAGAACAAAATGTAATTGCGAATCCACTGCTGACTTCTACAAGAAATATGTTTTGCCAAGCGGAAAATATAAAAGCCTATTGAATGGCACCATTATTTGGAAGTACATATGCTTGTGAAGAACTGTTTCGAAAATGAAATATAATAAAATCGTTTTTCGAACAACGTTCGGTAATAACCACTTGAATGATATTTTGCTCCTGTTGCCAACAAATATTTCACCTGATGTGGAGGAATTATCGAACTATCAGCAGAAAGAAGTGCCTCATTAAATGATTTGCCATTTTTAACTGTATTTCATTTGCAGTAAAGAACTTGCATATTTGTTGTTTGCGTTAGTTGTTATCCTGTTATATCTGTAGTAAAATAAGGAAACTTGTTTAAATAATATAACATCAACTTCATTCTTTTTTCTTTAAACCTCCAGACTAAGGCAGCCTTCTGGACGTAGCGGTCTAGGGTCGAGACAATTTATTATAGTAAAATTAGTATCACGGCCCTCCTCCAAGACACTTTCTGGGCTTCTGACTCCAAATGGTTGCTGACTCCTTTTGTAGACTAATCGTTTTGGATAGGTACCTCAACTACCTAATGTTTAAAATTAATTTTTAGAAATGAAAAATCTTTCTTGAAGCTTTTATTTTAGTTTTAATTTCAAGTTAATAGATTAAATTTAATATTCCCAATAAGCAAAATATTTTACTCTGTTTCAAAATTCATTTAAATCGACTGGAAGGAGTTTCGTTACTTTCTTCCTAAATTAACTCATTTCAGCGTCATTGTTAGCTGTTGTTCATCGCAATTTCATTCTCTTTATTAAAGAATCTTCAAAAATAAAATATTATTTGAGGAATATTAGCGGATTTAAAGTTTAATTAATCTGATTTGAACCAACTATTAGTTATTTTAAGATTAAAATATCACAGAAACACATTTTAACTCGGCTGTAGCTGTTCATTTATGGAGTTGTCATGTTGACATCTTAAATGACAGATGGGTGTTTATCTAATTTTTTTTTACGGTGGATATATCTGTAAAAATATCTTGAACAATTTAATGTGAAAGTCTACTTTGTTATTCGTAAGTACTCAGTCATCTTAAAATTTTAAGAAAATATACTAATTTTTATCGAATTTTAGATATTTTAGCTTTAAATTTAATACAGTTATCGATCTTATTTTCTGACAGTATCGAGTATGTACATCCGTATCTACAAAAATCAGCACGTAGATACACGCACAAAATAATTCAAAATTTTTAAAATACTTAAACACCTTAAATTGCAATATGCTTTTCGATTTATGATTAGTAAATATAGTTTTTACTTATTAACAATATCACCTAACCGTTACAGCATTGATAAACACGTTTAAATTATTTAAAACTTTATAGATTATAAATGAATTTTAAAAAATAAAAACAATTCTTGTAAAACTATTTACATTGCTCGAACTATCATCATCATCTTTGTTGCCATATTTATCACAACGTTTCGACTGTTGTACGCTCCGGCCTTCTTCAGTGGTTGAAACATGGCAGAGTGGATAAAAGCGTAAGATAGATCCAGTGACAAAACCCAAAGAGTGTGAGTTCAATACCTGGTCAAGGTGGTGAAGATAACTGACAACTGACATCCATTAAAACATGGCACGTGGAACTAGAACAGTCTACCCCAGTGAGCGAAATGAAAGGTTCAGTTTGACATTCCAACTACCGGAAGAAGGCCGGAGCGTACAACGGCCGAAACGCTGTGATAAATATGGTGACAAAGATGAGGACGATAGTCCGAGCAATGTAAATAGTATACATAATACCTCATCCCAGAAATATAGACAATTCTTGTAAAATTTCATTATTCATCAATTTTTGTTTCTTAAGAGAAGAGTGACTATAATATATCTTATTCTTAAAAGTAGTTAAATGTTTTTTTTCTAATTAAATGGTGTTTTATTTTTATTGCATTTTTAATTTAGGATTCACAGCAGATTTTCCGTAACTGGGGCTTCTGTTTTACAAATAGAAATTGATGATGATAAAATTCACCAAGGACTTCTGCTTTTAACTAATATAAATTTTAAGCATTACACCATAGAATTTTCTGAATATTCATAAAAATTAATAAGTAATATGTGTAACATATGTAATATATATATATATATATATATATGTGTGTGTGTGTGTGTGTGTGTGTGTGTGTGTGTGTGTGTGTGTGTGTGTGTGTGTGTGTATATAAATATAAATAAATATATATATGTATAATTATTTATATATTATATGCATGGTACTTATTAGAAAGCGCTCAATATCAGAGATAGAGCTAACATATTTGGTTGGATAGATGTGAGTTTTGTTACCCTGGGTTTCAATGTTGATTAATGTTTAAAAAATTGGGTTTATGTAGATTGCGTGTATTGGTGTTATTGTGGAAGTGGTGGGGGAAATTTCGTCGTTTTATCATTCATCGTACTAACGCAAACATCGATATATGCAGACACATATACATACTTGGTCGTCCGTCGGGACTCATACATATATAAACGTATGTGGGCAGTTTCGGCTATGACACATGTATGTATACGGGTGGTGTTATATCAATACATACGCATTTGTATGTTGAAATGTTGAAATTTAAACATTGGAAATGTGGCGGAAATGTCTCGTTAATGTCTCGTGAATGTATACATGTCATATGTATATTTTCGCTGGAAAATATTTCCTCGCATGTATGTATATACGTATGGGGGGTTTGTGTAAAATTATGAGAGGTAAAAATTATTATTATTTATATTTATTTTTAAATTTTTGAAAAAAAAAAATTGGGGTGTTTATTTGTTATATTTAAAGCTGGTTATTTTGTTTGTTTTTGGTGACTGTGTATATGTAACAGGTAGAAATTTGTAATCCTTATTGGTTAATTTATATGGTGATGTTTAATATTCAATGTGCTGGGTGAGAGGGTAGTTCAATTTAATAACGGGTCTATATGATATGATGTGATAGTAATGTTTCAAGGGATTGGAGACAATGATAGTTAGCTAATAGTTATTGTAAATTGGTAGAAATGATTAGTAACGGTGGTGGGAGAATGATAAAACCATGAATGTAGTTATAGTGGTGGTAGCTTGAACTAAAAAGTGGTTGTTGGTGTTTTATTTTATTTTTGTTTTATTTTGTTATATGTATTAATTTATTTTGGTATAAATCCTGATAATAGGTATTCTGTGTAAAATTATGGTAGTTGAAGATTACATAATTTTTAATTTTAATTACAAAATTATTATTGTTATTATATTAAAGCTGCCTGGTAATAGGTGTTTGTTCTCATGGTTACATATGGAAATTATATCTGATCATATTGTTTTAAGGTATTAAATATGCTGGGGAGTAATAAAAACATTGTAGTGGATTTATATGTTAATACTGGTGTGATGTGTAAGATGGTGCTGTGTGTTGGTGGTAATGATAATATTGTTAGTTAATGGATATTGTAGAGTGGTAAAAAGTGATTACTAATGGTGGTGCAATTATAATAATGATAGATGCAATTATTTTGATGGTGTCTTGAAATTAAATTGTGATTGTTGGTGGTTTGTCTGTTTTATCCGTTTGGTATGAATTCGGATAATAGGTACTTGTTCTCATGCCTACATTTGGAGATTATCTCTGATTTTTTGTTTAGTAAGATTTATATTTAATATTTTTTTTTTTTATTTTCAAAATCGGGTATGATATACCAATAGTTAGTAGTGGTGTAACTAATTGATGTTTAGTGTTCTAGCGTTAATAATTACATAACGCTTTTGACGATAAAACATTGTTTTTATAAAGTTTGGTGCATTTTTTTTTTATCATAGTCTGCTTTTTTCAGCGAATTAATGGAGTACCCAGTATTAGTCCATCCTCTTGAATTTGAAGACTCGCCAGAAAAATATGTGTTTACGTGCCTTTTTAAAAAGTAATTGACTAGATTCATCGCATCCAATTGGACATCTACTTCTTGAAGGGTTTTATAATATATTCTGCAATAAGAACAAAGAAATTAACACATCGCTGCATATAGTTACCTTAAATTTTTAGATCTTTTTGCCTAATTTACCTTGTTCGCTAATGGTAACCGTAGTGCCGATTGATTTAAAATTTAGGCAATCTCCTCCTAAAACAATTAGATGTAGCGCACTAAAAAATAATAAATATTTTCAATATTTGACCTATAGTGTGTGTGTGTGTGTGAGTATATATATATATATATATATATATATATATATATATATATGTGAACACATTTTTTTGTTTATACATTTTTTTATAGATACAAAATATTTAAATAAATGCTCTGTTCATAATAAACAGTATTAAAAACATTTACCGGCCTGAATATCCAAGAAATTGTCATAGAAAATATGCATCCTCCGACAGGAATCGAACCTATATCCTATACGGAACCGCCGTAGAGCCCGACCTGCTTTTACCGATTTCGCCACAGACGAGCGTTCGGTTGGCATGGTTAATTTTACTGTTTTTAAACTACAATTTTCTATGATTTTCTCTCGTCCATTCATATCTGTTCGCTCCATATCCAAATGTAAACAAATGACGTCACACATTATAAAAAAGAATGTACAAACATAAAAATTTCTTAAAATAATTATCAGACTTTGGCCATTTACATAATGTTTGACGTTATATATATATATATATATATATATATATATATATATATATATTTGAATAAAAAACAGATCACTTTAAGGTTCCATATCATCCTCCTTGGGTCTACCCATACGATTACCTAGTTTGCATATATATATATATATATATATATATATATATATATATATATATATATATATATATATATATATATGTATGTATGTATATATATGTCTAAATGAAGCTGAATCCATAGGTAATAGTTTATTTCACTGGATTATGCCCATCTCTTCAGACACAAAATGTTACAACAGTTTTATAATTTTGTGGTCTGAAGAGATGGGCGCTTGATGCCGTGAAATAAGCAGTCACCTATGGATTTCTAAGGACGCCGCTTTCAGTAGTATATTTGGTCTGTTCTAACATTGATTTCCCTTTGGATTAAAATCCTGTTTGAAATTATCCCTCCTAATTATCAAGTAATATTATATATATATATATATATATATATATATATATATATATATATATATATAGGGGGGTGTAGAGAGAGAGAGAGAAATAGATAATATTGTCACGGTTTAATGTTGACCTCAGTGTCCATTATTTTATTTTATATTTAAATATGCTCTATCGCTTATACTGTGCAATTTTAACAATAAATGTAGGATACCATAAAAAGGGTTATCTTGTTTGAGTAGACATCTTCGATACATTTTTTAAGGCGTTGTTAATGTCTAGAAATACAAGCATCGAAATTCGTAGTAAATACTTTAAGGTCATTTTCCTTGATTGAATTCACGCATTTTTACTTCAAGATATTTTTGTGAATTTTGATAAATATATCTGTTAGGATTTCAGTGTTATTTATACTTTTGCTTAATTTAGACGACAATTTATCCATAGCAACATGTACATGTGTGTGTGTGTCTGTGTCTATATATATATATATATATATATATATATATATATATATATATATATATATGAAGAAATAGTGTTAAGATGAGCTATATTTATGGGATAAAGTGCTCAATATAGAGATAGAGGTGTGTAAATATAAAAGTGAATATTGAAGTCAGTACTTAGAGGCGACAGTCTGTTTCATGCTAGATGCAATCGTCAGGCCACGAGTGCTGTTTTTTTCTCTCGGCTATTTATATATACAGGTCAGTGGTGCATTGTGTGTAGTCTATTCATAGTCTATTTATAGTGGCCTGACGATTGCATCTAGAATGAAACAGACTGTCCCTTCTAAGTGTTGACTTCAATGTTCCACTTATATATATATATATATATATATATATATATATATATATATATATATATATATATATAATGAAATGGATTAAGTCCGACAATATATTTTCTGTTTATACGTTATTTTTATAGATACAATTGTTTTAAGTAAATGCTCTGTTATTAAACTATTAATTACATTTTCCGCCTTGAATGTTCGAGAAATTTCGAAGAAAATATCCTCTCTCCGACAGGAATCGAATTTTTATTCCTATCCGGAAACCGTCATTTGATCTGACGAAGCATCTATGCATTCTAAATGATAAGCCCCTCCGATCAAATGACGGTATCCGTATAGGAATTCAGACGAAATTTCTCGAACATTCAGGCCAGTAAATTTAATTAATACTGTTTAATTAAAAACAGAGCATTTACTTAAATAAATTTTAACCATAAAAACACGTATAAGCAGAATATATATATATATATATATATATATATATATATATATTGATGCATGTTTCATTAAATAATATAGACAAGTTTTGTCTATTTATTTTAAGTAAATTGCTTTCATATTGTCTGATAAGCTGAATAACATTATCATTAAAAGATGAAAGAAAATCACCATATTGATACATGGTTTTTTAATCCTATCTAAGCTTTCGGCTTATGTAACCCATTATCAAAGATGTCAATTACAATTCAATATATTAAACAATACACGGACAAAAGAATAATGATAGTTTGTTTTTGTTGCATGAAAGATTTTCAAGCAACGACAAACTCGTGTATGCGAGACACGGAAGTGAAAATCGCACCGAAGCTCGTGATGTTACACATGACCACGCGAGAGCGAAAACGAAGAGTATTAAGTATGGGAAGCCGTTGGTATAAACCAATGGGTTCTGTTATCAATTACGGGCATTTAAGAATATTTGTGGAGGTTTCAACTGTTTTATGTATACAGCTTCAAGAAATTTTAGTTTTTGTTTATTGTTTTCATGTTTAAGTATAGCTGTGTTTTCAACAAGGATTTTCCGGAATTGTGTATGCGACCAGGCATGTTGTTTTAAATGCCTAAAAATATACATAAATATATATGTTATTTCTATTTAGTAGGTGAATTTGTTTGAGTAGATATCTCTATTTTTTTAGAATTGAAATTGTTGCAATAATAAATTCATTAATTGTTTAAAAAATGCTTATATATTTGCCAGTAGGACACAGAATTTGTAAAATTGGAGAAAAAATGTTCTCGGATCTGAAGACGACAACCTAAAGGCGAGGATTGTCCTCACTCTAGTTGTGAATGCGCGTTCCAATTTATATGTTAATCTATCGATGTCTATCACTGGTGAATATCTCTGTCAACAGCTTCTCTATATCTATCTATCTATCTATCTATATATAAGTGATAGAAATTAGGAGGATTTCAGATAATTATAATTAATTCAACGAGTCTAGAATAAAACTCAACAGAATGCAGAAAGCACTGGACGGCCGTTTCGTCCTATATTTGGTACTCATCAGCAGTGCACATCCATTACCGAGAATTGAAACCCGGACAGTTACGTTATCTGTCAAACGTCACGATGAGGTAGTGAATCAGACTCGATATAGCGCTGCTCGATCATATATTCCGTGATAAAACTCATCCGAGTTCCCCTTACCCATAGGACCGTGCCCCCACGAGCCACGACTACTATCACCAAGCCGCTCCATCCAGAGCATTAGAAGCCGGTTCAAGCAAGGATATACAAGTGATAGAAATTAGGAGGACTCGATGAATTACTTAATTGTATATATATATATATATATATATTAAAAAGAAGAGAGGTGCCGCAAACGTTTTTGGTTGTAATGTGGGTGTGTGTGTGTGTGTGTGTGTGTACTGGTTCCATGTAGCTTGGGAAATATGTGTGTATATGTGTGTGTGTACTGATTACTTGTGGTGTGTATGTGCGTATGTAAGTGTATGCGTGTATAGGTACAAATAAGTTTACGAATTCCTCGTAGTAAGACAGTATGTATGGAGGGGAAATATACGCACGCATATATACACGCATGCTGACAGGAACACACCAAAATAGAAACAGATCCAAGAGCACGTAGGGGTCACTAAAACATTAAAAGATAAAATGCCGATAACTACTCGCTGGACAAACCTTAATTGTTTTATGACCTTTCGCGCAGAACTCTTCATTGACAATTCTAGAAAGAAATTCGGATTACCAACACACAGAGAATGTCTCATATCGAGAATATTTCACATTGAACATGAAGAAAATTAATTATTTTTAATAATATGTAGAAATCTCCACTTTTACCTGAAGACGGTCGCGAGACCAGAAACGCGTGTCGTAAAATTATGTAAAACAAAGCATAATATTTTTCTCTAAATAAATCCACATTACAACCAAAAACGTTTGGGCACCTCTCTTTTTTTATATACATACTTTTCTCTCGTTGGAACCACTACAACATATTTCTTATATATATATATATATATATATATATATATATATATATATATATATATATTAGTGAGCATAGAAGTCAACACTTAGAGGCGAAAGTCTGTTTCATGCTAGATGCAATCCCATGCCACATCGACTTCTATGTTCAGTTTTATATTTACTCACGCTCTATCTCTGATACTGAGCACTTTATCCCATAAATATAGCACATCTTAAGACTATATTTCTTTATATATATATATATATATATATATATATATATAGATAGATATGTATATATATATATATATATATATATATATATATATATATATATATATATATATATTATATATATATATATATGTTGGGGCGCACCCACCTTCTAACTAGTAATGGACTGGTCCCTCTTATATAAGTCAGCTCTGGAGAGAGAGTGACAGAAGAGCGTCAGAGAGAGAGTCAGCGTGAGCAGTCCAGATAAGCTTACCCGGTACATACCGTTGGACTATAGACTTTGGATATTGTTTCGTACTAACCAACCTTCGTTCTACTAATCACTCTATTGTTAATTGCTTTTATGAATATACCAGTATTTTCCTCTACAACTGTGTTTGTCTTGATTCATACACCCACACGCGGGAAACTCACAACATCTCAACAATATATATATATATATATAGATAGATAGATAGAATACTTGCATTATTTACATTATTCGGAGTGTTATCCTCATCCGGGGTAGCTTGTTCTAGTTCCATGTGCCAAGCCTCTTCCTGATGTCTCAGTTATCTCCCTTTAACTCAACTCCCCAAGTTTTGGTTCACGACTGCTGTGGCCTGGTATTGATCTCACAACTCTTTGGGTCTAGTTACTGGATCTAACCAACGTCTTTATCTACTGGGCCATATGTCCTGGAGACATGGCACGTGAAATAGAACAATCAACCCCGGTAGACGAAATAACGGGTTCGGTTCGAAATTTCAATCATCTGAAGAAGCCCGGTGCGTACATCAGCCGGAACATTGTAAATATGGCAATGAAGATAAGGATACCAGTCCGAATAATGTAAATAATGCAAGTAATCATAATACCTCATCTCAGAGATATATAGATATTTATATTCATACATACATAAATATATAAAGGCAGACTTTTTTCTTCTGCTAGGGCGGTTTACCAATCCTTATCGCAGACACCTGTTCAGGCAAAATTCTTCAAGCCTGTTTATACTCCAATTATGTTGAACAGTTCTTAGTTACAGTAAAAAGCGCTAAACAACATTTGAACACCCCTAGGGCACGCATACACTCAGCCACAAAGAATTGTGACTTCGTCCCTGTACAATAATCGATGTTTTCCGGATAATTCCGTCTACCCAATTTGCGACTCGCAACCTGGGGTATGATTTGCAGACAACACAAGATCGCCTCTTATCTTCTGTAACATCAAGAAATCGCTCTCCTGACTAATCAGATATAGTGAAATTCGAACCCGAGTCTCCTGATTGAAAGGCGAACTTTCTCGTCATGAACCCATACATACATGCATGCATACATGGATATAAGAAGAATGAGTGTTATGCAATGTTATGATAAACATATATACGTACATATGAAGAAACTTCGATCTATCTATCTATATATATATCTATCTACAAAGTAGTAAGAATTTGAAAAAGAAAGAAACTTCGATCTATCTATCTATCTACTATAGTAAGAATTTGAAAAGAAAGAAACTATCTATCTATCTATCTATCTACAAAGTAGTAAGAATTTGAAAAAGAAAGAAACATCGATCTCTATCTACAAAGTAGTAAGAATTTGAAAAAGAAAGAAACATCGATCTATCTATCTATCTATCTATCTATCTACAAAGTAGTAAGAATTTGAAAAAGAAAGAAACTTCGATCTATCTATCTATCTATCTACAAAGTAGTAAGAATTTGAAAAAGAAAGAAACTTCGATCTATCTATCTATCTATCTACAAAGTAGTAAGAATTTGAAAAAGAAAGAAACATCGATCTATCTATTTATCTATCTACAAAGTAGTAAGAATTTGAAAAAGAAAGAAACATCGATCTATCTATCATCATCTATCTATCTACAAAGTAGTAAGAATTTGAAAAAAGAAAGAAAACTTCGATCTATCTATTCATCTATCTACAAAGTAGTAAGAATTTGAAAAAGAAAGAAACTTCGATCTATCTATCTATCTATCTTAGTAAGAATTTGAAAAAGAAAGAAACATCGATCTATCTATTTATCTACCTCTATTTGAAAAAGAAAGAAACTATCTATCTATTTATCTACCTACAAAAGTAGTAAGAATTTGAAAAAGAAAGAAACTTCGATCTATCTATCTATCTACAAAGTAGTAAGAATTTGAAAAAGAAAGAAACATCGATCTATCTATCTATCTATCTATCTACAAAGTAGTAAGAATTTGAAAAAGAAAGAAACTTCGATCTATCTATTTATCTACCTACAAAGTAGTAAGAATTTGAAAAAGAAAGAAACATCGATCTATCTATCTATCTATCTACAAAGTAGTAAGAATTTGAAAAAGAAAGAAAACTTCTATTTATCTATCTATCTATTTTGAAAAGAAAGAAACTTGATCTATCTATTTATCTACAAAGTAGTAAGAATTTGAAAAAAAAAAGAAACATCGATCTATCTATTTATCTATCTACAAAGTAGTAAGAATTTGAAAAAGAAAGAAACATCGATCTATCTATCTATCTATCTATCTAAGAATTTGAAAAAGAAAGAAACTTCGATCTATCTATTTATCTACCCACAAAGTAATTTGAAAAAGAAAGAAACATCGATCTATCTATCATTCATTCACAAAGTAGTAAGAATTTTGAAAAAGAAAGAAACTTCGATCTATCTATCTATCTATCAAAAGTAGTAAGAATTTGAAAAGAATTTGAAAAGAAAGAAACATCGATCTATCTATTTATCTATCTACAAAGTAAAGAATTTGAAAAAACATGATCTATCTATCTATCTATCCAAAAGAAAAAGATCGATCTATCTATCTATCTATCTACAAAGTAGTAAGAATTTGAAAAAGAAAAGAAACTTCGATTTATCTATCTATCTATCTATCTATTTATCTACAAAAGTAGTAAGAATTTGAAAAGAAAGAAAAATTGATTCATTTATCTATCTATCTATTTGAACAAGAAAAGAAAGAAAATTGAATCAATCTACAAAGAAAGAATTTGAACAAGAAAGAAACTTCGATCTATCTATCTATCTATCTATCAAAAGTAGTAAGAATTTGAAAAGAAAGAAACTTCGATCTATCTATCTATCTATCTATCTATCTATCTATCTATCTACAAAGTAGTAAGAATTTGAAAAAGAAAGGTAACATAAAAATGAAGCCTTTATCCTCCAACCTATCTACAGTTGGGTTTGAAATTCTTTTACCGAGCGAAAGATGCCGAAAAGATGTAAAGTAAAGCTCATTTATCGATCCACGCTTGCATGGCCTTGATGTGCCCACGCATTGAAACTGATTGACACTACATATGACAT